TACCACTTAGACAAACGGTCCGACATATACAGTTTTGGTGTGATTATGTCAGAGTTGGCCAGTGGCCGACCGCCATTTGAACTGTTGAAATCGAACCGTCGACTACTGCTCAACCTTATAGTCAACGGCGACAGGGATTCACCAATAATATCCGGCGCACCGGTTCTATTCACGCAACTCTATCAACATTGTTGGGATGCGGACCCGTCCAAACGACCAACCATCGAAGATGCGGTGAAATCACTTGCCAACGTCCACCCGGAAGAATCCAAGATTCACTCGAGACCGCCGACCGAAATTAAATTTCAGGAGGAACCGCACTCACGTCTACGCCGTTACATTCGAACCGGCAAACCGTCCTCATCCGTGCCCGCGATTTCTCCGCGAGTAGACTCCATAGGATGGATGGATTCTACAAACGAATTTTCGGAGTACGATGTTATCGAAAAAGATGACTTGAAAGGATACGCGAGATATTCGGGGAAATCAACTTCGATGCCATCGGTAAGTACTTTTCGACGTGTTGTCGGATGGATTATGAATTTCAATTGATTAAAAATCTTGTGCACCATCGTTTAAGATCAAGGATGCATCCCCAAGTTCAAAACGCCGAGAGAAAGCGCGTAGCCTAAGTTTCGTGACGTTCCGAAAGTCCTCCCAGAGACCGAGATCATATGAAAACGGCCTTCACCACTCGGTGTCACTGAGTGAAGGTAGCAGCAGCAGCAAGTCCGACAACGAATACCCTGACATGGGCGCAGGTTCATTGTTGCAAGATGGCAATCAACCAAAAATAATCCTGATCGCACGGTATTGCCCAGTCAAGAGCATCATCAAAGTGCTTGAGCAATTAAAAAGACAAGGGGCGGACCTTACACCGCGCGAGACCTACAAATCCAAATCGGTATTTCATAATCTGATTTGGAATGACCATTTATTCGACGCGGTTAGGTTAAACCACTCTCAACGGAAGTTGGCAAAACACGAAAGCTTCCGAGTCGTCTTGAAATGGCTCATTTCAAACAACTTGAACATAAATGCCGCGGACGATTTCGGCTGGACGACCTTGCACGAAGCAATTTGGAAACGTAGGGAGCCCGGGGTGATATTGGCTTTACTGGAGAACCAAGCTAATCCCAACATACCCGACAAATTTGGTGCGACTCCGTTGCATCAATGCTTTGACTTGTTGCGCAAGACGACACGCGACGATGAGAATCAACACATATTTATTATAATGAGAATCCTACTTCAACACGGAGCAGATCCAAATATGAAACTCCCAGACACCACACTTACAATTTCGGGATCATCATTACCCAATTGTTTGTTTGCTGCCGTTTACATGGATCTGCCGTTGGATATAATAGAGCTGATGATCAAACGAGGAGCGGACATCACGTCAGCAACATTTCAGGGATTACGCTTGATAGATTTCGCAGCGAAGATAAACAACACCGTGGCACTAAAGTACCTCGGCGACAATAAGAATTTATTAAGCAACAACAGGAAATCGGGTTTATTTAATTCTTTGAAGATGACTTCAAAAGTTGGCTCGGTCCCGTTCATTCGGGCGGGATCTATTCCAACGAGATATGAGAAAAGTGGTG